CACCCCATTTTACAGAACTTCCAGGTGTGGGTCCCCCTTTTTACAGTAGGTTGAGGATTGAGGGGGTCTCAGCACCCCCCCCATTTTACAGACCTTCCAGACACGGGTTCCCCCATTTTACCTGTAATGGTCTCAGGTTTAAGCTTATGATCCCATGTTCTTGCTTTATATGCACATGATGCATCATGATGAAGCAGCTCATCTCCTATGCCTACTTAGCCCATTTTGCAGAGCTCTTTTGCCTGTAGATTCCGCCCCCAAAGGTCCTCCAAAAAATGCACCGGTGAACTTCATTATACAGAGATGTTGTTTTTTAGGTTAAGCCCGGGGTTCGCCCGTTTTACAGAGCCGTTTTGCCTAAGCTCCACCGTTTTACCTAGTAAAATGGAGGTTCACAGAATTCACCCTGAATACAAATGGCGATGCAAGGTATGGAGGACACATAAGTAACTACGCATATATATCTATCTATATATACATATGTCTTTTCCTATTCTTTATCTATATTCCACACCCTTATTCCCAACTAACCTCCAGTAAGGTATGGAGGCCACAAGACCCGAGATCATCCGCGGCATCCCGATGCATCGCGCCTTGCAAGGCTGTGGCGGAGCTCTCCGAGGTTGGAAGCTCGCGCGCTTCTGGGTGACTGTAGGGTAGTTTATAGGGTTTAGGGTTTAGGGTTTAGAGAATATTAGGGGTTATATAGGGATAATGGAAAAGAAAATGGATACTACTAATTGGGGTTTAGGGTTTTGGTTTTAAGGAACTTGAATTAGATCAAGTTACAATAATTATGGTAATTTAATAAAAGTTCCGAAGCAGCAACCCAGGTTTGTACCGACACGGCCGGATGACTGTCCGCATCGACGAGTTTTGGTCCCACAGCTGGCACACCAACGCTTGGATTAAATTCTGCACCATGTGGTTTGTGAATCGAAGCACAGTGGCAACCCTGTGTGGCATGCTGGGTGCCTGTGTAGGCCTGATGCTGCGTCTTTGCGATATTCTGCCTAGATTCTGGGTTGCTGTTAAGGAACTTAAATTATGTTACTATATTGGGGAAACCCTATTATGTACTATATATACCCATTATGGTAACCTAATTTAAGTTCCTTATCAGCAACCCAGGATTTCAGGAGAGTCCTGGCTGGTTTGTATCGCAATGGTCTGTCGTCTTCGGCTGTGCGGGCCACTATTTAGCCTTGCTCCTCTGGAGGCCGCAGCGGTTAGTCTTCCTGGATGTCGCATGCATTGATCAGGAGACTGGGTTGTTGTTAGGGAACTCAAGCTAAGTTATCCAATAGGGACACATAATTAGTAAACAATAGGGTTGCCTAACTTTCGCAACTCAATCTAAGTTCCTTACCAGCAACTCAGGACAACGAACTTTTGAAGGGTGAGGCATTGATAAGCATGGGCGCCATCCTGCCACTTGCTTCAAAGCGGTTTAGGCTTTAGTCTTCAGGGCTTAGTGGACCCCGGCCCTGTGGTATAATAGGAATGTGACAGGATCCCCTTAACTCCTAAACCCGTAGCCCTGATATAACAAATAACCACCATTACCCCTTATAGTTACTATTGCTCGTTGGGGGCTCCACCTAATTTAAGAGTTGTCTCTAGGAACGCATTTTTTTGTAGTTTCAGCCAGCCCTTTGGTTGATGGCAATGGTTTACGGTTTGAAGTTTGAACCTTGTGCCTCCCGCAACAAAAACCAACCTTGATAGAGCATGGCGAGGGGTTACGTTTTTGGAAAATTCTACGTTGAGGCTGAGGCTTCAAGTTTTCTGGTTTCGGGTTGGGGTTCAGGCTGCATGGTTCAGAATTGATGATTTAGGGTTCAACGTTTTTTTGCGGGCGGAGGTTCAAGGCCCATCATACGAAGCCTCTTGAGGCATACTGGAAGTTTTCGGACAGCTACACAGCTGCAAATTACTGCAAACCCAGGAAGAGCTCATCATCGCTGCAGGTTTTCTGGGATGCTACCTGGAACACGAGCTTCTTACCTTGTCCACTAGCTGGCCTTTTAACCGTTTCCGGTAATACAACACCGAATGTAAACAAAAAGGCTAACCTTGCGAAAGCCCTAGATATTGGAAAACGACTGGGTTGCCGCTAAAGAACTCAAATTAAGCTACTATATTGGGGAAAGTCTATTGATTACATATATATATATATTTTCGCATTATAGTGATTTAATTTAGGTTCCTTAACAGCAACCCATACTAAGGGTTCTGGTGTGTCTTCGAGTTGGCGGCATTTCTGCATGGCCATGAGCCCGATGAAGCAAGTCCCGACCTTCGCATCCATCCAACATTGATGGGGCCAGTGTCTGGGCTGCTGTTAAGGAACTTAAACTAAATTGCCATAATGGGTATATATATATATATATACAGGGTATACAGGGTTTAGGGTTACCATAGTGGGTATATATAGGGTATACAGGGCTACCATCATGGGTGTATCTCGTAAATGATATGGTTTCCCGAATATAGTGATTTAAATGAAGTTCTTTAAGAGCAACCCAGGTGTTCATCATTGCCCATATGGGCGAGTGCGTGTTGATCCTGATGATGCCACTTCTTTTCAGATGGGGAGACAGCTTGGGGGCGTCATATATACTCACTCTTTTTGCAGGCATCTTGATATCTTTCACCATTCTTGTCCATGTTGCTCGCGCATTTGCCCGTGATCTGGACATGCTGCAGAAGAGTCTAGCAGAGTTCCGGGTCCAGAACGCCAAATGCGCTTGTTGTGACTCTCACCACGTGGATGCATGGGGCGAACCTCTAGCTTGCGACCGCGAAGTGCTGCTTCGATGTATCAACGTGTGGTTTGGAAGCACAGAGAATTTTGACCTCCGCGTGCAAGGACCAGTAAGGAAGACCGTGCTTGGGAACCTGACCAGCCCAGTGCATTTCTACCGACGCGTGGTAGAAAGCGCTTGTCCTGTGACTTACCTCTTCCTAGCAAGGAATGAAGGGGTGGATCCCTATAGCAGTCCCTGTAAAACCCCCCAAATGCTAGCGTAGCTTCATGTTGGTTCATTCCTTCAGCTTCAGACTTTCTGCTATCAACCCCAAGGTGATGTGGCTTTTCATGGATGTGCTGGCCAAGTTCATGACTACCGATGAGTGGAGGACAGGTCCAATAGCCATCGAGACCATCTTCGCAGGTCTCGGATACTGGCTGGCCACTATCCCCACGGTTGTCACTCCTATCCCCTGAGGAATTAGTTTCCATGTTTTATGACAGTATAACCCAAGGAGTTATTAAACGTCGCATTTTTATTATAGGTCTAAGGCGACCAGAGGTCATGCTGGCAATGATGATGACCTACGCGCTCCGGGCAAAACAGGACCGTGACATTCCTGGAAGTAGGTTTTGTACATTATGACTCCCTGCATATTCCGTCCTAATTTTGTGTAGGGCCCCTATTGACAGAGGACTGCGTGCTCTGCGAAGGGCTGCGTACACTGGCGCCGGTCGCAATCAGCGGTTGTCTCATTCCCCTCAGTCATATCATCGAGCAGCTCATTTTTACTGAATTTACAGAGCCTGACAACTTTCATCAAAGGGCTGTGGCACAGACTTTAATCTTTTGCGGCCTGGTGATAGTCACCATTGCCATTGGACTTGCCTTTTCCAGGGCACGAAGATACGCCCTGGCACTCTGACGCCGGTAGTCGGATTTCGGAGAAAACTGTCCCGAAACGGCGTGGGTGAGATGTTATTGTACAGCCGTCCTTTTTTTTGGCGGCAGGGTTTAGTGTCCTCCAGCGAGCTGTGAAACAGCCCTCGGGAGGCAGACCTTCTTTTTTAACGTGTGCAAGTTTGAAATACTCCCAGGTGGTAGTTTCCATGAATAGGATAGGGGGACCCCATTATCGGCCCCCAAACATGATACTCCTTATTTTGGGGACCCCCAAAACTGCACCACGATTTTTTTAGAAATCTTAATCCCCGTAGACCACTATAATCCCAGTTTCCATTTCATGTTCCATGTTCTTTTCCAGTTGATTCTCCATGTAACAGGGGTAATATCCCTGATTTTGGGAAACCCTAACGCCCTAAACGCCATATATCCCTATACGAGCTATAGTAGGAGTTTAGACTATAGCTCATATGACCCCTATATAACCCTTTGAAAGTTACGCCAAAGAGCCCCATTTGGCGTCAGGATGTCGGAGACGTGGAGCCACTGGATGAGAGGCAGCCCGAACCGCTTGGCAGGGTTTAGGGTTTAGGGGTTTAGGGTTTAGGGTTTAGGGTTTAGGCGTTTAGGGTACAGGGTTCTAGGGTTCAGGGGTTTAAGGTTAGCGCTTAGGACTCTTGGGTATTGTTCAAAGGGTTATTACCCCGATAATGTATAGGGAGCATAAAGGTTGGGTACTGCCCCCACCCAGTTACAGTCTATATAGGGGTTATATAGAATTATATAGGGAAAGTGTAGGGGATATAGGGCCTCATCATGGAAAACCAAACTGAAAAGAACGTGGAAAATGAAATGGAAACTAGGTTTGCATAGGGGTAAGATTCGTGACTCTCCATCTGTATATAAACAACTATATACTAATAGTACTCAAAATCCAACTGTTATTGAGCCCTGAACCCTAGGCTCCAAACCCGAAGCCCCAAACCCTAAACCCTAACTCTAAGCCCTAACTTCGCATAGCCATTCGACTTCACATTGCATATCGTGCGACAGCCCACGATCCGAAAGGGGATCTCCTCCCCAAACCTGAAATATGTCAGGATTTAGGTATAGGGGAAAATAGGGTTTTTTGGGAAATGAAGAGCTATATTTTTGGGGTATATAGGGCGTTGACAAAGTCTCGTGGAGGGCAGCTGGTGACTATTTCTTGCAGTAGCAGTTCTTCGGCCATACCTTGACGTAGGTGTCTACCTGGAAATCCTGGGATGCACCCCTGAAACATGAGGTAGTATGGTTGCATGGTGCTTACATCTTTCACTGACGCTTATGTGGGCCCCTACAAGCTTCTTGGGTTCACACATAGCACGCTTTCAGGCAATTTGATATTGGCTTCGTTTTGAAATCACGGGGAATAGCATATCCAACTTGATCCAGCATCTGGTCATGCACCGCAATTTCCTTTTAGCACGACTACTTTGGAAGGCTTATTGCCGTTGTGGCATCAGGTACATGTTAGTGAGTTGCAGGATAGCTCTCGAATCGTTATGGTTGAGGAAGTTGACACCTCCTCCTGGCTGATTGAAGTGTGGAATCTCAGTCATGGGTACTGAGAGTCCGTGCTCCGTTAGTCTTGTTCTAGCAGTCCATGGAGCCCAGATGGAAAATACAAAAAGGATATATTACCCTCCCCCCCAATAATGGAGAATCAACTGAAAAAGGAAATGGACAATGATGTGGAAACTGGGTTTTCATAGTGGTTTGTAGGGATCAGTGTTTCCCAAAATCAGGGGTACCTTTTTTGGGGGTCCTAAAAAAAGGACCAGCATATTTGGGGGTCTATATTTGGGCGGAAACTGCCATATTGCGAGCTTGTCATGCTGCTAGAGGCCAGACCGGTTGGTGAGTATGCGGAACCTCCTGGTACACAAGAGCTCTTTAGGGTCCCTGCGCTACTCGTATCAGTTGCTAGTACAGACTGCGTCAAAGAAGTGGATGACAAGGGTGCTGCAAAGGAGGTGCGTGCGTGCAATGGGTTCGAGGCTAATAAGGACCTCAAAAGGGACCCGCAACATCCCCGGGTTGCAGAGACCTCACCCCTGAAGTGTTTGCAGGAACTAACCACGGATCTCATGGCGTCCGGCATGGAGACGTTTGGGTTGTGAGAGGGTTAGCACGTGCTCAAGCGATGCTGTAAGTACTGCGATGCTGCAGTCTTGAGTTCCAACTGGCAGGGGCAAAGCAAGCGCAAGTCTCGCATGCAGGCTTGTCAGCGAGCGATGACGCATGGTCTAGTTTGTAGATGTTTCCAGATTGCGCTTGATTGCCCAGACATTTAGGCTGCTTTTCGCATCCTTTTCGGGTTCGATGCCGAGAATCGGATGGGGAGTCAGCCAGTCACCGCTACTTTTGGTGCACACCGGTGAGCTGACTACGCAAAAGTACGGGGAGCCTTCAAACTCTGAGAAGCCTCAGGCATGTTGCAAAGTTCCAGGGAGCCTCCTGACGGAGATGACATGTTGACGTGCTGGGATCCTGCAGGACTCATTGTCTTCCGTGGCTAGCATCACATCACTTCTACAAGGCAGGAAACTACGCAGTCCAAGGCTTGCAGAAGCAGGATTCACACGCAGGCGTTCGAGTTGGGACCCGATGCGATCTTTGCGTTGCTGGAAGGACTGGCAGCCCGTCCCTTGCAATCTTTCAGAGCAGGTGCGGGAGTAAGAAAAACAAGAGTCTCAGGCAGATTCCGCCCGGGCCGCTGTCCTTCCCCTGGAGGGCTTGCGAGGCCAGATGTTCCAAGAACAGTCGAGAGGATCAGAACATCAAAGCAGATTTCTGTTCTGAGCAAGGCCAGCCATTCTTGTGGCTTCCTGCATCGGAAGTTCCAGGTCTGGCACCATGGCATCCAGGATGCACAGTTTGGAAGAAATAGGTCCACTGGTGTCAAGCAAAACAAGGCATGGCCCTTGCCTTGTTTCAGTCTCCGGTGCCATTCTGTTAGCCGTAGCTGCCATAGCCTTCATACCAGCCAAGCATAGGATTTCCTGGCATAACCTGCAGCGGGGCGAGCATGATTAAACTTAAGAAGAATTTAGGACCTTGGCAGGTGTGCGTTGCCAACCTCCACGGAATGTGTCCTGAATCATAGCGCTTTTGCCTGAGCCGGCAAGATGAGTCAGGAGTGCTGTGGGTGCAAGTGAGTCTTGGGGCTCAGAACATTTTAGGTTTTGGGGGCAGTAGCCCTTGGTTTGGAGTTGGCTGCTAGTCAGTAGCAGGGCTTGTGCACATTTGGTGGATGGCGCTTCTAGGGACGTCCGCTGCCGCTCAAGAGCCTGCGCTCTGAGGAACAGGGGAAGAGCCCACGATTGCTGGGGAGCATTAAAAGATGAGCTAGCGGTGCGTTGCAGGTGCTTTCTCTCCTGGAGACCCAGTCACGTCAGTGTCGAAAGCGAATCCCTGCAGCCCAACAGAGCTACGAACGCCACCAACAATAATAAGTAAGAATGATAATAACAATAGTAATAATACTGGTAGTAATAATAATAGTTGTAGTAGCAGCAGCAATAGTCATCATAATAATGGTAATAGATACTAGTAAGAGGAGGCGGATTGGACAGGATCTGATTCCGCAGGCTGTGCGCAGCTGGCGGAAGTTTTGGTCGCGTGTCCATAGGTCAGCTTTTTCCGTGGCATTCCCATCACTCTTACTCGTACCATTAATGTCAGTATTACTAGTACTGGTACTATTACTTTTCACGCTATTGAAATGGATTCGCAATGTCTGCGGACCTATTTTCAAGCTTTGGGGGAGGGGTTGTGCGCCGTCCCGGCATCGGCGGCCGTCAATGCCCCTCGACTGCTTTGGCTGCCTTTGCGGACAGGATAGCTTAGGCACTAGGAATCAGCATGAGCTATAGTCTAATCTCCTTCAAGGAGGCTATATAAGGGATTATATGGGGATTACTTTCGGGGTTATTAACAGCCATACTAGGAGTTTAGACTATGGCTCAACTGAATCCGTCAAATCAGTTGTTTCAGGCGATGTGAGCTGCGGGACGATGCAGGCCGGAGTGTAGCATCGCTTCTGAGGCGGTTTAGATCCTAGATTCTGATGCGTGACGCGCTTATGTTCGTTATTTCCAGGGTCAGGCAGCAGGAGGTCGAAGCAGCCCTTGACTCAGAAGCATTCGCAGTGTAGCATGAAGCAGCAGACGTTTCGCGGTGCCTCGCACCAGTATGAGGCACCTGTTGCCGCCCCATCTAACCAGCGGCAGAGGCTTTTGGTGGTTCCGCTAGTCGAGTGTTTCGACCGGGGGTTGTTTGTGAGGCTTCTCCGCCACTTGGTGCAACTCATCGAGTTACACTGCTGCACCCAACGACACGTGCTTTGCTCAGATGCAGGATGCCTTCCCTCTACTTGCTTTGCCCTTCCGAACAGCAACCCCCTGCATGAGGGCTCAACGACTATTTCTTGACTTTCATAAGGCAGTTTCCCAAAATTACGGGACCCCCATATAGACCCCAAAATACTATAGTTCTGATTATAAGGACCCCCAAAATGGTACCCCTTATTTTGGGGAACTTCCATAAAATCTTTTTTGGGGGGCGGTAGGGATTACCTATCCTGCTCAAGAGAAATCGGTTAAGGTGCCGCGTAGGAGCACCTCCTCGCCTAAGTCGAGCGCAGGCCGCGGCACTCACACAGTTGCAGGCAATAGTAATAATAGTAAGAAGCAGAGTAATAGTATTAGTACTGGTACGAGTAATGGAAATAGTATTAGTACTAGTAATAGTAATGGTGGTGGTAGTAGTAGTAGTAGTAGTAGGCCCCCCCCCTACCAACTACGTTGGTTGATATTTCCACTACTAGAGCTTTGGCGGGGAGGGGAGAGAGGGGAGGGGGGGGGAGAGGGGGATAATTGCGTATAAACCCACCTCAACCAGTCAACTTCCCCCAAACTAAATGCCTTCCTTCAAATTCTACAACTAAACAAGATCATGGAGTTTCTCTTGGTTTTTGTG